TCATCCTTATAGCTTGACCCCGCGTTTCGCACAAGGTTCGTACCACATCTCGCCCAACCAACCCTTCCCCGATCTTTTGCGCAACGTCTACCTTACGTCGTACACCACGGCTGATCCTTCGAGCACAATTAGACGCCAAGCTTCGGCCTACAATTACCTTATCTTAGCTTTCAGTGTCCCGCCTGGGGCGTTAGGATGGCTGCTTAGACGGGTGCTCGCCCCCCAGTCTGCTTTCTTTCGCTTCTTGACCTCGTATGGCTCCCATTGAGGCAACGCGTGGCTGAATAGTCAAGGCGACTCTCCGACTGCCTGGACATGATGAACCATCATATGCCCGCAATGCCCCATGGGCAGCCACCCATGCCTACTCCTCGTCGACAGCAAGATGTTCCTTACACTACAGCTCCTCCCAACATGCGAACCCCTCCTGCCTACATGGGGTACCATCCCCATATGAACGGCCACCCTCCTCCGGCCGCATACTCGCCCCAGCAATACCCTCATTGGTACCCGCCTTATCCTGCCATGCAGCTCCCTCCACGCCCATACCAACACCCTTACGGACCGATGTATGTGTCTGCCTATCCTCCCTCTCAGCCTATAATGGCGCCGGCCCATATTCCTCCCGCGTCTCTTCCCATGCAGCCGAGGACCTCCACTCCCCTACAAAGCACCATGTCTCCGCCTGTCGGACTTCCACCTCTGCCCATTACGACTCAGGCACAATCTCCAGCCACTGTTCCCGTGCACCCGGCGCCGAGTTCCGCTGTGTCATTGTCCCCCGCTCCTGCACCTGCAAAGGTTTCTTCGGAGCCCAAGGAGCCTTTCCGCCCACCGGTAAGTTGTATAGACTAGCACGCACTCGGTTTTTTTTTCCTGACATCGGTCACAGCTACCTTGGCTCTCCGTCCCCGACCACCCTTTCCCTGCTCGGATTCCGGGCAGACGTAGGAAAAGCCGTCTTCTCCCTACGTCAGCTGTTTCCGTCGAGCTTCCCACCAAGGAGCCTCATCGGCCTGACCAGCCTGAGAGACAAACCGAAGTCCAAAGACCGGAGCCGGTACAGTCGCCATCGGAACCCCAAACACCAACTTTGTCTGCCGCTCCATCAGTTGCGAATTCGACACAACCCACAACTCCATCCTCAGTTGCGCAGAACCTCCCTCTGCGTCCTCAGTCGCAGTCCAAGGGAGCCAAACCGACTATTCCTGTAGTCCCCGTGGTCCCTGTCGTCCCGGCGCCTAGTACCCCTCGTCAAGCAACCAAGGATGATTCGAGTCGCTCGTTGGAAACACCCAAGTCGGTCAGTGGCACAGCCCAGGAGAAGGCAAACGAGGATACTCAGGACTTGTCCCAGGATAAGACCGAGGGAACTGCTAAGCAGGCTTCGCCTGCCCCTGCAGTGCCTAAGTCGTGGGCGGATATGGTCCGGTCAAAAGCACTCGCTAAAGGCGCGAGTGCTCCCAACGCATCCCCTGCTGTGTCAAATGGCGTTATCAAGCCCAAGAGTGAGTCTCTGGCCGACGTCTTGACGACACTAGGAGACGATGTGTCGCAGTATAGCGATAAAGTTGCCTTCCTCCAACCCAGAGGACTCGTGAATACCGGCAACATGTGCTACATGAATTCCGTATGTTTCTCTAAGTTGTCAGCACGAAGTGCTACTAGCTAATGACTTTACTTCAGGTGCTTCAAATTCTCGTTTCCTGTGTGCCTTTCTACCAATTCTTGGATCATATTGGACGGAGGGCGTCCCACAGCTTCAACAGCGACTTTCCGATGATCGACGCTTTGTGAGTTACCTGAATTTTTTGATTCTCAGTTCCTCGATGTTTTTCATTGTGCTTGTTTTTACTCGAAAGTCTTACTAATACGCTTGAAGGATCATGTTCATGAGAGAGTTCCGCATCATTGATGCCGCACACACTGAGGAACAGCTGAAGTTGAGGTTGAAACCAAACGAGCTCGAGGATTACGGCGAAGCCTTTGTCCCGGAATTTGTCTACGAGGTTATTAGGCAGTTGCCACGCTTTAGGGACATGCGGGTGAGTCTGTTCCATCCCCTAATCCATGAGACCATGCGCGCTAATACGTACATGATTCTAATGAATACAGAGAGGCCATCAGCAAGATGCTCAAGAGTTTTTGGGCTTCCTTCTGGAAGAAATGCACGAAGAGTGCAATCGTGCCGCAAAAGATGCCCCTGTAACTGCCTCGGCCGCACCGAACCCCGAGGCAGAGGTTGCAAACGAAGAGCCCGGCGATGGCTGGTTGGAGGTCGGTCACAAGCAGAAGGCGGCTGTTACGCGCTCATCTGGCCATATCGCTTTGGAATCGCCAATTACGAAGATCTTCGGTGGAAAGATCCGGTCAGAGTTCAGGGTGCCTGGTAACAAGACTTCTGTGACCCTCGAGCCCTACCAGCCACTTCAGCTGGACATTGGAGCTCCTGAGATCAACAATATTGTCGATGCTCTCAAAGGACTCACTAAGCCGGAAAGCATTCAAGGGGACTTCAATTCTTCCCGCGGACCCAATGTCACAGCTACCAAACAGATCTTTATTGAAACCATGCCGCCAGTTCTTATCCTTCACCTGAAGCGGTTCCAATACGACAGTGTGACCAGAGGCACCCAAAAGATCTGGAAAAAGGTTGGATACCCGCTCGACCTGGAGATTCCTCGCGAGGTCTTCCCACCCAACAAGCGCAATATCATGATGGCACAAGGTGGCCTGCCCAAGTATCGCCTCGTCGGCGTCATCTACCATCATGGCAAGAACGCTAGTGGCGGCCACTACACCGTTGATGTCCGTCGTCAAGATGGACGCGAATGGATCCGCTTGGACGACACTCTTATTCGTCGGGTTCGGAGTGAGGATGTTGCACAGGCCGGGGGCGAGGAAGACCCCAAGGTTCTTGCGGCGGCGCTCGAACAACACAAGCGCGACGGACCGAATGTTAACATCTTTGATCATATTGACCAGGACGACTTGGAGCAGTCCGATAATGAGAGAGGCTGGAGCCAGGTCAACGGCGCCAGCGGCCATTCAAGCAAGAAATCCACCTCTGGTGCAGCCTCAGCACCGTCTTCTGGTGTCCGCACTCCTCTTGGACGGTACGGATCCCGAGACAACAAGGTGGCTTACCTGTTATTCTACCAACGCATCGTTTGATTTGGCTTGTTCCGGAGAGAATCATCTCCAGGAGCGATTGGCGAACTATCGAGAAGAGAGAGAGAAAACGAATAAGCGCATTCTCCCGTCTCCTTTATCTGGGGAGAAATCACAGGATCCCAACGCTGCCTGGTAGTACGCCAAATGTGTTCTGGCGCCTACCCACCCACGTATCAACTATTTACACTAACTCAATTTTTGTCCGTCGACTGCGCATACAACATGACATCGACCTGGCGGTTCATTAGAGGCCCGTGTTTTCATCGGCCATCAAGGGTCGCTGCTGCGGAAGAGTAATGGATATTCGGGGAGTTGTTGGGCCCTTCTTTCCGAGTATTCAGACAATTTCCGCCGCGCAAGACCCCGTCTTATTGCTCGCATTTGAGTCTACACAGATGGTGGGCGTCACCAGACCATTGCTGTGTATTTTGCTTTTTAATTGTTATTATTTTCCCCGTTCCCTTCCGTGTTCCTGATGACGTTTGCCCTGTAGCTTATCCATCTATCTCGCTTATGATTTTGTGTGTTCGCGGTGCTGTATCTGGTGAGATGTCGCTCTGATATATACCCCTAGTTTCCTCGCATAGCCCCTTGGTTTGCCTCGCTGATGCAGATGGGTTTTTTCTTGATGTGGCGTGGACGGGTTTATAACGACTGCATGATTTTCCTTTTTCCCCCCATAGACATGTCTATCCAGAAAAAAGAAGGGCTGTGGAATTTTTGGTCGGCGGCTGGCGTGCATGCTTTATTTGAACGAAGTTGGAGATGAGGAGTCCGGAGGTTAGTGACGAGCATGATACAGCAACGCCCTACGATGGAGTTGAGTTCAGTTCAAATGATGGGAATTATTGTCGATTTCTTCGACTCCCCAGATGATTTTGGGCCAGTTGTGGTGCAGCAGATCCGCCCCATCATGACTGGTTATTCTATGTCTTTTTCTCTTCTTGTTTCCTTTTTGCACCATCACACACACACAAACCTTCGTTTCAGCACAAATTACACATTTTTTTTCCTTATACTCTCACTATCATATTAATGACGAGATACGGCGGTATGCAAAATAGGGTGGTCATCAAAATCAAGGCATGGTTTAGGGTGGGATGAATATTTATTTGTTGATCTATTCCAGGCACGACTTGATAAAAAAGCATGTTTAGGCAATATTATTATATTTATAAAACCATGGGTCTCCATTACATCTCCCATCAACTACTAGTAAAGTAGTAGCTATCAACCACACCATAATCTAAATGTATATTCTGCTAATAGTCCTAATAGTAGTCTATGCAGTGAAATGAGATCTAGGGATGCCGAGAACATCCACTGACACTAGATGCTTACTAGTAGGTAGGCAGAACGTCCCCTTTGTACAGTATCCTTTCTCTTGTATCATCATCATCCCCTCTATACACTACACATCCATCTCTATACCATCGGCCATCCATCCATCCACAAATCCTCAGCCGCATACATTCCCCTCAACTCTAACGTATATTGTATATATGTGCAACCGTTCAGCTTCACCATCACCATATATACAACACGAGCATCATCTTGTATATGGAGACCAATCGCAGAAGGTCTCCATGCAGCTCCAGTTTACAACAGCGAAAATGTGTCTCCGAATCCTGACTTGGTAGATTGCAAGCAGACTAGACATGTTGTTCGAATGGAGGGGTCGGACTGTTGCTACTCTCCTGTGCACTATCCTGCTCGTTCTCTCGCACAACCAGGTTGACGGGTCGAGCAGGTTCATCCGCTGTTGCTGCTCCAACCTGGACTTGCTCCTGCGAAGAGGTGGTCCGAATAACAGACCGACCGATCTGGAAGACAGCTGGGTCGGGCGGTTCCCGTCCTGCATGACCGCGCTTCCGGTTTCGGTTGTTCGTGGGCCCTGCGCTGCGTGTCGCAGTGCTGTGCGTGTGCTGCACATTGGCGATCGGCACGGGGTCGGGTTCAGCAATGGTGCTGGTGCTGAGTGCTTGGGAGATTGTCCGTGGGAGATGGTAGCCGGCTTTTGCTAGTGGGATGCAGAGTCCATGGACGATCTGCCGAGAAAGTCAGAAAAAATGTTTCAAGGTCTATAAGATCTAGATATTGGCCGGATAGTGTGTGGACTTACTATGCTGCAAATGACCAGGAACCAAACCACGACATTGACAGCCTCGGAAACCTTCGCGGCATCTTCACGGACTTGACCTTCGACGGTGATCTGGTTCAGGAATTCCCGACTGACCGACAGGTAGAAGACAGCCCCGACTCCGATAGGTCCAAAGAATCCAACAAATGCTGCCTGATAGAAGTGCTCAATTTGGTGGATGAGCTTGTGCATGGCAAAAATAATAGGCATGCGTCGGACTAGCAGGATTAGGATTCCTAAGAATATCAAGCGATAGATGGGGATCACGCTGTTGTTCAGGAACGACGACCACGGGCAGACAGCACCGAACCACATGAAGACCGCCAAGTTTAGCAACATATCGATGGTTGGCTGCAAAGAATCATCCATTGTTTCTAGGCGAAACCAGTCACTACCTTCGTCAGCAATTGAACCAAAGCAAGTGGACATGACGTCTTACTCCTGCGTAAACACATTGCCGGCAACAAAGCAGGCCAGGAGATCATCTGTCCCTATCAAGCCACATGTACCAATAATAAACAGCTGCATTCGGTGTTAGTAACGTGTGATGACCTAACCAAGATTCAACTTACTGAAAGAGCGATAGCAAATACAAGAAAGCTTTCCCGATCCACGTAATGCTTCTCCTCTGCCCAGTGAAGCAACTTACGGGAGAGCCACCCGACTACGATCCCATACACGACACTCAGGATCACAGTATAGACCCAAGTCTCATAGAACCACAAGCCTATGGCTTTCCCAGCGCCTCCACTGTACCCCTCGCCGCCCTTGCCAATGTACTTGAGAAGATACAATCCAAAATAGAGGAAAGGATAGCCAAGACCATCGTTGGCACCTGACTCGGCCACGATAATGCGCTGCAAAGGACGAGGCACATTCTTGTCTGCAAATTTGCCCTTTACGATGGAATTGGAAAGCACGGGGTCGGTGGGAGTGATGCACGCACCCACGACGAGAGCATGGAGAAAGGGAAAGTTCGGCACCATGGCCCAAATGACCAGACTGCTACACATCCACATGGCAGCCATCCCAGGTCCCAAAAGGAGCGACAGGCTCTTCCATTCTATCTGCAAGTACCGTTTGGGGAGCTGCACCCCGGCAAGGACCAGCTGGACCCCAAGGACGAGACGGGTGAAGTACAGGGTGATCTCTTCTAGATTCTGCTCGGAACCAAGTGCATACTCCTGGGGTCTTATAAAGTTGGCTGCATGGGGGGAGAAGATCACTCCAGCTAGCAATGAAATCACTGTACAACGTCAGTCATCCACCGTCCAATCAATGACAACACGCATTGCCGAGGAGAGTTCGGGAGTAGCGGGTGGAAGGTTGAAAAAGGCAGGACGGACATGCTTCAGAAAGATAGAATCTCTCCTTGAACAGGTAGGACACCAATCCGAAGACGGATATAAATCCTCCCAGCGTCGCACAGACGATGTTGAAGTTGATCAACGATAGGGTAGGCATCTTGTCGTTGCGCTCCCCCAGGGTGTGCGGTGCACAACGTCTATTGTTGATTATTGCTTTGATCCCAAGCAAGGATGCCGGAATCCTGAAGGTTTACAACTCCCTGTTCAGCTGGAGAGCGCGGGGTAAAAGAAGGTAAAATGTGGGGGAGAATTAGAATAATCTCCAGAACTTGACACAATCAAACTAAGATCACAAGCACGTGTTATTCAATCATAATAGTATAGATGTCTTTGATGGCAAGCTCTCCTGGCATCGGAAGAATGGGGAATTCCTCCAGCAGCTGGATCTTAAAACAGGCGAACGTCGTCACCGACAGCACGAGTTTCCAGCCCGATAAACTTCGCGGGGGTGGGAGGAAGTAAAAAGGGCAATACGAGAGACCAAACACGAGGCGAGCAGATGCAGGCAGGCAAGCACAGACGCGACGAATGACCTCGGGCGACGATCAGACTCGATATGAGCGAGTATGCGCCAGAAGCGATGTCAGTATGCAGCGGTACGTGGGAGTGGAAGGGAAGAGGAAGAAGAAGAGGAGTAAAAGACGCGGGCAAATCGGGGGGAGGAGAAAAAGTTCCGGGGATCAAGTCAGTTCCAGTTGGGTTTAAACGCTGGTGTGGCCCGTGCCGCTTTCGGGAAAGGCACCACCTCGTGGTACGCATTTCTACACTACAAGTGACTCTTTCTTTTAAAAGCAGGCAGCCCTGCTGTCCGTCATACAGGTCATATCATCTACAGCTGGCCCAGCTAATGCCAAGTAAGGCATCAATTCATGCTGCAGTTCTAGGTTGAATCTCTCTCCCGCCCCGGGGTGGGACACGTCATTTCTCAATAAGACCAACAGGAAAGAAGTCACGGATCGCAACGCAACATTTCTACCCAGTACCTTGATACAGAAAACCCATCGCCATCATTGATCTGTATCAGAGAGCATCTACGAGGGTGCCTCGAGATTGGTAGCTCAGAAGTCGTCGTCATCATCCTCAAAAGCCTCGTCCGGAATGTCTCTGACTGCTTCCAATGCTGCAGCCTTCTCCGAAACTCCTCGTCGAGCACCACTCACCGCCAGACGATCGGCGGCCTCATTCCCAGGGTGGGAGCTATGTCCCTTGACCCATTCGAACAAGGTCTTCACCTTCAGCTCATTGCGTTCTTCGATCTTCGACAAAATGGATTCAACCAAGTCCTTGTTGTCCACCGGCTTGTTGCCAGCGGTCATCCAGTTGTTGCGCCGCCACTTTGTAAACCACACCGTCACACAGTTGATCGCGTATTGGCTATCTGTAAATATGGTCACGTCCCGGTGTCGTGGAGCTATGTCAAGCGCCCGGAGGATGGCCGTCAGCTCGGCACGCTGATTGGTCTGGCGACTACCTTTGAGGGGCTCTGAAACATTTCTGCTGGGAGAACAGGCGTCAGTATAGGCCAAAGGCAAACCCTCCCAGGGAATAAAGAACACACGACAACGCTAAGGTGAGTGTCAGGGGGGGGGTGGGACAAACCGTGAGTCGCCAGGTCCAAAGTAAACCCCGACACCCGCTGAGGCAAGCGCTTTGCCATTTTTCAAAGAACTACCGTCCGTGTAGATGCGCAGCATCCCCGGTGGACCAGTGGATTTCATCTTGGTCGCGGTCTTCTGGTCCTGTGATTTATAGACCACTTTCCCTGTTTTGGGATCCAACAATACGTTGGGGTCAAACCCATCCTCCGCTCCGGTCGGCAGAGGGCCATTCCCCGCCTCAAAAGGTATACCCTGCGCATCCGCAGGGACCCCGTTCATCAGTCCCGGTGCACCGGCGAGCTTCTGCGATTCCGGGGTCTTTCCGAACGTAGTGCCAGACCCTTGACCTTCCCTTGCAAACTCCTCTGCTTCCTCCCTTGTCGAAAATTTCTTGTAACGCGGTTTGGGAAATCCTTTGATCTGCTCCTGCGCCTTTGCCCAGTCCGTATAAACACCAGGTATTCGACCACGCTGGACACCGTAGAATCTCGTGGGTTCGGAATCCAAGGGGGTCCCGCCGCGCGCAGCGGGGACACGAGTCCCGGTAAGGAAGGCATTTGCTTCTTCGTAAGAAGGGAAGGCCTGGACTGAAAGAATAGGTCAGCTTCAGAAGACAGGATGCGGCCTATCCGCGGGTCACCTTACAGACAGCTCCCTTGTACCCGGTGACCTGGGTCAGACAATCATGCCAATCATAGTAAACACCGGGCTGATAGCCAGCCTTCACGGCGTAGTATTTCGCCGCTGATGCGCGCTTGCGCTTCGTTCCGGCTACGGCTGAGGGAGATTTCGAAGTCGGAGATGCTTTCGTGGCGGGACCCGGAGTGGGAGAAGGGGTGGTCGTGGTGTCGTTCATGACGTCGTCCCCGCAATTCGGCGCGGTCGAGAGGAAGGTTTTGAGGAACGAGGAAGGCTGGGAAGGATAATTCGAATAGTGTCTCTTTGGATGATTCCTGTTGCGCGGATCAACTGAACAAGATCCAGGGGCCAGAGACCTTAGCCTGCAGCTCGAAATGGAACACCTCGGTCCCAGCTTCGAAGCCGTCAGGCAAACCCAAGTGAGACGCGTGATGGAAACAATCTACCGCTCTCTGACTTGACCCTATCACTTATGATTTACAGGATTGAAATCTGGACGATGGTGTTGAGAAAGGAGTTCAGACAAACGCGGGTCTAAAGTTTTGGTGGACGAGCGGGGGGGGGTGTGGCAGAGGTCAGAGAGGTGGGGGGGGGTGTGTGGTCAACCCATCATCAAGCAAATCCCCGACCATTATGCGGCTGGATCCGATGCGCATTTCAATGGTGTTCCGGCTGACCTTGATGACAAGCTCACTTTCTCTGATGGCGCTCATTTGTTCTCAAGTCTAGAAGCAACCTGAACATTGTCAGGTCTGTTAATCATCGATGGTCAACAGGGAGAGGCTCTGGGTCGGATTGTGGACCCAACGGGGTTCAAGCATTCGGATTGAAGCATTGGTTCCAAATCGCTGATCAGTCTGGAGACTTTCCAGACGATGTTGAAAATGCATGAACAGAAGTCAGAGGACCCCTACTTTTTCCCCCTCCCCTTGTTCCAGTGGAAGTGGATTGCCTGATTGACTGGGTGGTCTTCCTCCTGCTGCTGGCTCTTTCATCACGTGACTTTTGAGTAGATCGGCTGGTCAGGAACTATGACGGATACACCATTGTCACAGTAACTGCATGAGACTATCATTCAGTATGCCTTAATTTGTTATGCTGCAAGCTTGTTGGGTGGTTTGCCAGGGTTTCGAAGTACCATGTGATGAAACAGTTGAGCGAATGCTGTGAACCATGAACTGCAGGTCTAATACTACTAGTCCTTGATCACTCCATAGTATATATAAGTGCACTGACAGCCAGGCAGCCCAAGTCAAGTTTAATTTCCTGCGTGGCTAGTAGTAGAGAACTAACATCATTGGTGTTAATCCAGTTAGTAGTACCATTGAAAAATCGGAGAGCTGCATCCGCACAGACTATGTATAGGCCTTCATAATCGTGTACGTTCCATTGGTGCCGCAGTACTAAATCATAGTATTTCCAAGGCTAGTATTCGTGCACATTTTTACTTCAATGGACAACAACCGTTGGTTCAGAATATTACAAAATACAGTCACCATAGAATGCCAGAATGGACTTGCTCAATGATTAACTATTATCATTTCAATTTGGGATGAAAGTGTCAACCTTCAATGTGTCCGTGGTTTCTCCTTGCCAGCAATTGTCCAGGGCGCCATATCTACGATACATACCGGCTCATCGAGCATTATAAGCATGTCTCCGGACCCTGGTTGGAAATGAGACTACAATAAACTGTGCAGCAAGCTGTTTCCTGTCCACGTCATCCAGCCACGCATTGCCGTGTGGAGAGTTTTGGGTCCAGTGGGGTGAGCACACAGTACCCTAGCAGCTTTGGTTATCCATAGTGATCTACTGGAAGCTTTGATATAGATCGCAATCGCCATACAAATATTCAGCAGTTCGTAAAGTCCCTATGAAACTCATGCAGAAACGTAGCTGATTCTTTTATTTTAGAAAAAGAAAAACGGAGAGTGAGCGAGAAAAGACTCTTTTTCTATTGCCGCTCCAGTTCGCCAAAGTATCCATTGAATGATCACATCTGCTCGTCTCAAGTTTGACTCCGAGAGCAGCTCCTTGAGTTTGCATTCTGATCAATTCACCAAGGAGACACATTATCTGTTTCTTGTTTATCTTCGGTCGCCTCATCTTCCCACCTCAACCCACCTCACTTAACCAAATTGTCTGAGCGAAAAGGAATAATGAGACGCTATGTCCGTCCAATTGACCTAACCGAGTATCCACCATTCTAAAGCGACTAAATAACCAAGTCTCTGGGCAAAGCATTCGAAAATAAAGTGATGAGTCCGCGTTCCGAGGCTTGTTCAAACCCACCGGGACTGACCGGACGAAGGACTCCGCTTGCTCGAAACCATAATAGTCAGGCCTCGTTTGAGCTTAGAAGCCCCTCGTTGAATCCAGGCTTAAGCTATTGGAAGAAATATTCCTCTATCAAATAAGCAGGGTAGCTTTGCCGTTATTCCAACATATGATGCTGATGGCCCGTGTTAATCTTGTGTAGTTCCGGGTTTGGTTTGCCGGCATTTTGAGAGAAAATACCGGCCATTTCCACTTCTTTCATCATGAGACCCACCACCTCAGCCCTAGTGCATTTCGTTGAAGGCTTAGCATCTCCGTTACATCTAGGACGATGGCTAAGCATCTATCCTGCCAAGAAATCATAGCTTGAGAAAATGACCTTTCATTTCAAGGCTTCGTCAGGACTGACTTGACCCCTAAGGGTTCTTGAGTGCGCAAGAAACTCGCCCTCCGCCGGTCCCCGTTGGCTTCCCCGGGGTCTTATCATGGTGTCCTACTAACAGGTAGAAGATCCCGAACCTGATACCGCTTTGCCGAGTAACGAGAAGCTTGTGTCTCAACAATCAAGAGCAGTGGCATAGATGCAAGATATGGTGACTTTTGTTTTCCTGAGGTGATGTCTTTCGAGCCACTTGTCGGGACCAATCTGGCGCGCAATCGCTCTCCACGCAGATCGGCAAACCCAGCAGAGGGCAAGATGACGCGTTGCCTGGGGTTAGACTGTTGCCAATCACCCCCGAAAGGGCCGAAGTTATCGCGTTCTACGGGACGCCGGCGGTTTCACGAGCCACGAACACCAAAGACTTCGGACTTTCCGACTTGGCATCCCGGAAGCTGTATACTCGGAACGGGCACGCTGGCTAGCAATGACTAGTTAAGAGAGTAGCCATACGTAAGATACGTGGATCTATCAAGTCCACTAACCAGTTATTCAAGGATGATGCGCCTCGTGCCGAACATCATGCCTCACAAGGGGTCAAGCAGGTCACATAACCAGGATACATGGTACAATAAATGCCCCCCTCCGCTAGAAATCTGGATTACTTTTCTCCCAAGTTTGACCTCACTCGCTTCTTGCTTGCTTCTACGTTGTCTTTTTCTTTGTGTCATTCCTTAGTCTATCCTCTTCCACTCCTTATGGTTTCTTTTTAAATATGAAAGTCCTCTCATTCATCGTGGCTGCGGCCCTTCTGGGTCTCACTGGCGCGTCTTCGAACTCCAGCCCGGGGCTGTTGAAGTCGGACGGTGGTGAGCCCTAAACACTCTCCTATACACTATGGCTGGGTCGGACCGCTAATGTCGCATAGTGGTTCTGGGAGACTGGGAATCGGCTTACCAGAAGGCCTCTTCCTTTGTAGCAGGCCTGACCACTGATCAGAAGCTGGCTTTGATCACTGGTAGCAGTGTCAACTCCACCAATGGCAGTTTTAGTGGCCTTACTTTTCTTGATGGTGACATGGGTCTCCAGAACTTCTTTTATGTATCCGCCTTCAGTTTGTCTTCAGCGCTTGCTATGACTTGGGACCGCGATGCCATCTATGCACAGGCTAAAGCAGTCGGCTCTGAATTCTACAACAAGGGTATCCAGGTCGTTGCTGGCCCTACGTCCCAGCCATTGGGGCGTACACCTTGGGGTGGCCGTATCGTCGAGGGCTTTGGCCCCGACCCTTATCTTAACGGCTTAGCTAGTGGATTGACAGCGAAGGGCTATATTGATGCTGGCGTTATCCCAGGTGCTAAGGTAAGTAGGGGATGCTGTCCCCCTACAATGCCACTGTTCTTTGACTGACATAAGCTGCACTACTCCACAGCACTTTCTTCTATATGAACAAGAAACCAATCGGACCGGCGGCGGCGGAGGAGGAGGAGGAGGTTCCGGTGGCGGCGGCGGTATGCCCTCCGGAGGAATGGGGCCCGGTTCGTCGAATACTTCGTCCCTGGGCGCCCAGCCTTCAGGATCAATGAGCCGTCGTGCTGCCAGTCTCAGCTCCGAGTCAGACAGCGGCTCGGCACCATACTCTTCCAACGCCGATGACAAAACCCTGCATGAGACGTATCTTTGGCCTTTCTATGACGCAGTCAAACATGGCCTGGGTGCTGTGATGTGTGCCATGACCAAGGTCAATGGCACGCTAAGCTGTCAGAACTCCGATTTGTTGATGAAGCATTTGAAGACCGAGCTTGGCTTCCCGGGATTGGTATGGCCAGACACTAATGGCCAGAGCAGTGCTCTAGAGTCTGCTGTTAATGGCGAGGATTACGGTTCCAGTAGTATTTGGAGTACTTCCACCATGGAGACCCTGTTGTCCAATGGCTCTCTAAGTGAGGCTCGTTTGGACGATATGGCTGTCCGCAATCTGATGGGTTATTACTATGTTAACCTGGACAATGGGCTCCAACCCGAGGAACAAAGTGAAGATGCGTACGTGGATGTGAGAGGCAACCACTCCAAGCTGATCCGGGAAAATGGAGCCAAGTCAATGGCTCTGCTGAAGAACAAGAACGCCCTGCCTCTCAGGAAGCCTCGTGTCATGAGTGTTTTCGGTGCCCATGCTGGTCCTGTGCTAGGGGGACCTAACACGGCCATGGACATCGAGGGTTCGGGACCGACGTACCAGGGCCACTTGGCCACCGGCACCGGTTCTGCTCAGGCATCTTTGCCTTACCTAGTGCCGCCTTATGTCGCACTGACTAACAGGATCATTGAGGATGGCACCATGATGCGGTGGGTGCTCAATGATACCTATTCCTCTTCTAGCACTTCCGGCTTGATCACGGAGGGAACTGACAGCACCGCCGTGGACCCCTCGTTTGCCGATTATGCCACCAACTCTGATGCTTGTCTCGTCTTTTTGAATGCTCTGTCCGGAGAAGGCGCTGATCGCACTGAGCTGTACAATGATGACCAAGATACCATGGTCAACACCGTCGCCGATAACTGCAACAACACAATCGTCATCATCAACACTGTCGGCCCGCGCCTGATGGACCAGTGGATTGAACATGACAACGTTACTGCTGTTCTCTATGGATCCCTCTTAGGCCAGGAGTCTGGTAACTCCATTGTCGACATTCTCTATGGAGACGTGAACCCTTCTGGCCGCCTCATTCACACCATCGCCAAAAACGAAAGTGACTACAACGTCAAAATCTGCTACACGGCGCAGTGTAACTTCACCGAAGGTAAAACAACTTTGACATATATCTCTTCCACTGATATCCTTGCAAGTAGTACTTACTCATATACCCTCCATAGGTGTCTATCTCGACTACCGTTACTTCGACGCCCACAACGTCACCCCTAGATACCCCTTCGGTCACGGTCTCTCCTACACTACCTTCTCCTACTCCGACCTGAACATCGAGAAGCCTTCCACCCTTTCCAAGTACCCCACTGGTGAGAAAGCTGTCGGAGGTAACAGCGACCTCTGGGATATTGTGGGAAACGTCTCCGTGAAGGTCGCCAACACCGGCTCGCTCGACGGCGCCGAAGTCCCCCAGCTCTACCTCGGGTTCCCCACTGCTGCGCAGCAACCCGTTCGCCAGCTCCGTGGCTTTGAACGCGTCGAGATCGCTTCCGGCAAGCAAAGCCAGGTTACCTTCCAGCTGCGCCGCCGTGACATCTCCTACTGGGATGTCCCGGCCCAGCAGTGGCTCGTTGCTTCGGGTGACTACAAGGTCTACGTGGGTGCAAGCTCTCGGGATCTGAAGCTGAATGGCACTTTTACTGTCCAGACTTCCTCTTAGATGTAAACTAGAGCTACTGTCAGGCAGGATTCTTTTAACAATTCTCGATAGACAGCGAATATTGTTGCCAATCCATACTCATTTATTACTTCTTCTCCCTCTAATGATCAATAACAGCACCTTCCCTAGCAAGTAACTTACAGGCGCCCGGAGATGTGCGGAGAGAGGGTCGTGGGATGTTCCTGTCCCTGATGCTAACAACAGCTACCGTGGTAGCCGTTATGTTACATGATTACTGACTGACATTCAAATTATCCTGAAACGGCCACTTGAAAGGGCATCTTTTCTTAATATTATAGTCACGTATTCACACCTATATTCCTCAAGTTCAGCAACAAGCTTGATCATAGACCCAGCACACATCGATACATATCAATCCTGAAACCGAAAGATGCAACGGTTACTTCATTGAGTATGCCGTAAACCGAAGTAGTATACATGTGCAAATGAATCCCTAGTATGGATACCTAATGCCTGTAGAGCTATAGCCTGGCTCCTGGCTTTTCTGCTTCTGTGACCCAAAGCAGCAGCTCATCTTTCCCGAACTCTTCCATGACTTCTACAGACAGATTCACGCGGACTTCCCAAGCGCTTTCACCTCTCTTTGAAGGATTCTTGTCAGGTAGAATCAGAATCATCCCATCAATCCGACAGTCCATGGTATCAAAGTCCAGCAGGGGCCCCAGTTTCGTGCCCCAGTCGGAGGCAAAGATGTTGGCTTTTCGAAGGCTGGACATCGTGACCCCAGCAGGGGCACCACAAACTGTCGAGTCGCCATCACACTCTTCCACACGGCCTATGAGACCGCGAATCTGCTCGTCATGAACAGAATTGCATTTGGCTCGAGACATCAAGGCTAGCTTGAGCAGTGCATTTATTGTTTCTTCGTCCATTCGCTTTCGTGTTACGAGGGTGGCTTCCTGTGGAGTAGGGATATCTTTCCAGTCGCACTGGGTTTTTGCTAGCACGAGGCTATTTCCTAGGTAGCTCCTTGGGAGGGGAGGCTGAATTATTGAGCGGACCTCCATACACCTGGATAAAGAGGATACACGCGGCAAGTCTGACGAAAGCTTGGAAGCAACCCGACGACGAGCACGGGATACACAAAGCCATACTAGAGCAGTCACCACATCGTCACTTGAGATGTTGTCAATTTTGTACTGGCTATCAATTGGTGAATTTTCCTGTGACATTGAATGGCCCTTGCCAAACTCGTGGGCAAGATTGTTGCACGAATTTTTAAGACAATTGACTCTGTCTGTATGCATAGTATAACGGCGACAGATGACTGACTTGGACTGGTATTCATGCAGCCCATAATCGTAGCGAATCTTGTGATATGCATCCTCGAGGTCATGGTTGCTGTTGGTGGTAGTTTTGTTTATCCTCCGCCTTGTCTGCTCTTCTTTTTCGAGGTTCATCGGAAGACGCCTGGGAGCGGCGCTCTTTCGACCCGGTCCAGAGCAAAATCGAGACAGAGCGTGCAAAATTACGGTGACGCCTACTGAATCCATTACCTGGTGATGCCACGCGAGGCATAAGATGAGTCCGTCTCGCATGACATTGGCCTGAAATCGCACAGCAGGTATTGGTTGGGAATTCGAGACTGTTGTCGGAATGTGTAGCATTTCATAATTGATGACTGGTGAGGCCAAAGCATCTGAAATGGTGTGTTGATGATGTTTGATATTTAACATGGGGCATTGGTGGAGGTCCGATGCTGTCGGTGGCTGCAACTCTGAGATGTTTCTTCTATCCTCCTTCTGCACTCGAGCAACATTGCCTGCCAAGAAGGGCCATTGGGATATCAAGCCCGACAAACCCAATTCTATCGCGACAACCGCCTCAGACGGCTGTTCAGGTCGAAAGGACATATAAGCGAATACATGATATGGAGGGAGCAAGTGGTCTAGAGGCGTGAGGGTATAAGGCTGGAACGAAGGGGTTTGGGCTTTGTCGGTCATTTTGATCTGTTGATAGGTCACGCTGACTGTCATGAAGGAACTGGTTCCTTACGAACATATAAATATCGCCGTGGCGTATAATGGACCAGAGAACTAATTGGTCGACGAGGAAAACTAAGTTAAAGCTCATGAGCAATCGGTGACATCTCAAACTTTGACATCTATGGGTAGATTTTTGTTTGTGGGTATAAACCGGTTTCTTCGGGGCTAGAGCTTGTAATAGCATTCGAACGATGACTGTTTTGTTTTGCCTACTGCCCAATAAATGGCTATGGCTTGTCGATCACCAGTTGATGGTAGTTTCGGTCTTGGAGTGTAACCCACAATGCTAGCAGGCTAGCAGGCTAGCAGCGCCCATGGTAGAGGTGAACTATGGTAAGCTTTCGTGTCGGGCAATGCTCCATTGAGATGTCAACCTGATTTTCATCGAGCTGTTGTGTATGCTGTTTGACCAAAAGTTTAGATACAGCATATGTGTAGAGATCTGATTCCATCGATAGATTTCCGATGCCATATACCTGGGCTGTCATCGTTGATCCACTGCACTTCTTGAACGAGAGGTAGTTGCAATAGCTCATCCCACATTTTGATCAATCGAAATTGTGACTTCTTGGAAGTGACTAGTTTAGAGATCACTCACCCCACTACAAGGGGTTAATTCCCTGATGAGGAAGATTGGTCGTGGTTATAGATGGTGGGGAATTCCACAAAATGTGAGACCTCGTTTCCCAAAAGAGACCCCGACACCATGACTCAGCATACAACCGCTTTAACCAAGTAGCCAGTAGCTACTTGAACAGCTCAAGAATCCCCAATTACACTGAATTGCAGGCAGCTTCGAGCTTAAGGAATCCCAAAGAAGAGCAAAATGTCCGTTAAAGACCTCACCACCATAACCAAAGAACTCGCCGGGACTCAGTATACCTCATCCTCTCTGACCCCACTAAGCGGGGGAACCGCCAACTTTGTCTATCGGGCTCAGCTCGACCAGCCGCTCCCAGATGGAACAAATTCCGTCATTGTGAAGCACACAGAGGCGTTTATTGCCCTGAATCGGGAATTTAAACTTCCCGCTGAACGCTGTGTCGGTATTCCCTTGTGCAAAGTCGGGACATACGCAAGTACAAACATCGTATTGACATATGCCATATAGCTTTTCGAAGAATCCATCTTGAAGGCTCTCGACGGGTTTCCTAGCATACTGGACAGAAGCAAGCATTGCGAGACGAACCCTCAAGAAGTGTTAGTCAAAACACCTCGTCTCTTCTCATTCAATCGCGAAACCTACACTGCTGTTCTAGAAGACCTCCCCGATTCTCTGGACCTTAAGTCCTTCTTAATTTCCACAGCTGCTTCCAACAACGTGACTCAAGGATGGGCATCTTCTATAGGCCGTGCACTAGGGAACTGGCTACGATCATTCCATCACTGGGCTGATAATGAGGCCCAATCAGGGGTGGCGGCAGAGATGGACAAGAACCAGTATATGAGAGACTTGAAGTTTATGGTCAACTATGATGCCCTCGTGAACACAATTGATAAATACCCGACTGTACTGGGAGACTCTCGGGATGTGTTTAGCAAGGTTCGGGAAATGGCGGCTGCAGAGTTGAGTCGAAAGGACGGAAATGGTTTTGGGATAATCCATGGAGACTTTTGGTCGGGAAAGTACGTGGTTCTTTGCCTTGATACATCAAAAGGAGAAGCAAACTGATGCAATATAGTGTCCTCATCCCCAAGGCGGCCCTAGAGCAACCATATCACCTTCCCGTATTCATCATCGACTGGGAACTCTGCCACTGCGGTGCTCGTGCCCTCGATCTAGGACAGATGTTTGCTGAGCTATACCTATTGAAGCATTTCAAGGACATCGATGCCGCGACATGGATAATCCAAGGCTTTATGAAAGAATATCAGGGCCTGGGTGATGAGATGGCCTTTCGGGTATTGATCCATGTTGGCGTCCATTTCATTGCCTGGGCACCCTTAATTCCTAATTGGGGTACCTCACAGCAGGTTGAAGATGCTGTTCGTCTGGGTAGAGATATCGTCACCAAGGCATGGGAAAAGGATAGGAGCTGGTTTGAAGGGGTATGGAAGTCATTGTTTCGAGATCAGTAGAACTTTCAGAAGCTAAACTCTGTTCTCTATGTATACGATTAGCTGTGATATACTCTAGCAGGTTGAGATACAATTCACATAAATAGCCCCGCCCTTGCACCATAAGCCAATCTACCAAGGAGGGTTGACTGAGAGATTGTGCACAATGCTGGTGATTCAGTGACAGATTTCCCTTTTCTAAGAATAGACGCACCCTACCTTATTGGGTAGTTGGGTCAAACGGCGGGCCCTTCTGCACTCCAACCCCAATGATCGTGCTTTTGATTCCTCCTAGCATCTCATCTTTAGACACTGATCACATCACTGAACATTTACAAGCCATGGCTCCATCGAATAAGCAGAAGCGAGGCCATCCCAAATCGAAACCCTCGTCATCCAAGCGTCGCAAGACCGCAAAGGCAGGCCCTGAAGCACCTAGCCAGTCCGAGGAAGCTGACCCTCAATCGACCATCCCATCCCAAGCTCAGCCTGCGAGCCCGGTACACTCATCGTCCAGCGACCTGTCGTACAAGATTTATGATGGCCTCAACCGCTATGGCGATCTTGAACCGTCCGGTATCATAGTCGATGTCGAGCTACCAGCTGATATCAAAGAGTATGCAGATATCACGGTCTTGAGTATCAGTAGGCTCCGAAATGCTGAGCAGGGCGGAATAGAATCGTTTCAGCAGCAGATAGCTGAAGTCAACAGCAGACACAGTATGCACCATGAATGGGTGGGGCTTATACACAAGGCCATTCTTCGCCTGAAACTAGAGAACAGTGTATCATTCACAACTGTGGAAGACAAAGGTATGTGACATAAAATATCCTAACATTTGCATATTGTTAGCACCAGATC